CTTTCTTCTCACCTCCCCACCTACCTTCCTCCTCCATCCCCCTACCCCCTGCCCCCTCCCCCCTCCCCTCTCCCCCACTAAATAGTCCACCTCATGCCACGCTGTTCGGAACCGGAAGCCTCGGCAGCAGCAGGAGAGTGTCCGCGAAAATGTTATCGTGGCTGTACCGTTCGCGTAACAAGTGTCTTGTAACAGACGAAAAACGATCGAGAGGGGGGGGGAGTGGGATGGGGAGGGGAGGGGGGGGTCTCGCGATGGTGGATGATTAGGGAAGGAGGGAGGGGGGTGGAGTGTGAAAGAGGGGAGGGCGGGGAAGTGGGAAATAAGGGATGGGGAGGGTTTAGGGTATGGAATGTGGGCAGGAGTTGGTGGGGGGAGGGGTGGAAAGGAGGAGGAGAAGTGGGTAGGAGTTGGGGGGGGGGGAGGGATGTGGAAAGGCGGGAGGCTGTAGAATGTGGGCAGGAGATGGAGGTATGGGTGGAAGTATGGATATGGTATGGATATAGGTATGGGTATGGGGCGGGGGTGGGGGTTAGGGATAAGGGACGTGGAGAGATGGTGGTGGGGGGGTGGGGGGAGTTGCATGCAAAGAGGGTCGGGCGATGAGGGACGGAGGGAGAAGGGAAAGAAACGAAGGAATGTGGACGGGATGTGGTGAATGATAGGGAATGATTTCAGTGTTTGTCTCCCTCTCATTTTCGCTCATTTTCTCTCCCCGCTTCTGCATTATTCACTCTCCGTTGCCTCGGAAGGAGAGGGAGCACGCAGGCCTAGGTTTGTATTTATGGCCGATTTCGAGGGGGAGTTGGGGATGGAGGGCGAAAGTGCAAGAGGGAATGGGAAGGAGGAGGTGGAGAGTATGGGAAAGGTGAGGAGGAGGAGGAGGAGGAGGGGGAGGAGGAGGAGGAGGAGAAGGAGGAGGAGGAGAAGGAGAAGGAGGAGGAGGAGGAGGAGGAGGAGGAGGAGAAGGAGGAGGAGGAGGCGGAGAAGGAGGAGGAGGAGGCGGTGAAGGAGGAGGAGGAGGAGGAGGACCCGAGAGAGGAGGAGGAGTAGGAGGAGGAGGAGGCGGAGGCGGAGAAGGAGGAGAAGGAGGAGGAGGCGGAGGAGGAGGAGGCGGAGAAGGAGGAGGAGGCGGAGGAGGAGGAGGCGGAGGCGGCGGAGGAGTGGTGATAGGGGGAAGGGGAGGAAGGGGGGAGAGCGGGGGAGGCGGTGGGAACAGGGACAGGGGCAGTAGCCACGTCACACTCCCGTGCTAATTGGTTGGATCCAATGCTGTGATGACTTTGGCCTTGAAAGCGTGCTGGATCAGACCGACTCGTGCCTCGCTGTGCGTATGTATGTGCGTGTGATGTGTGTTTGAATTTGCAAGTCTGTGTGTGTGTGTGTTTGAATTTGCAAGTGTGTGTGTGTGTGTGTGTGTGTGTGTGTGTGTGTGTGTGTGTGTGTGTGTCTCTGTGTGTCTATGTGTGTGTGTGTGTGTTTGTGTGTGTGTGTGTGTGTGCGCGCGTGTGTGTGTTGTGTTGTGCGTTGTGTGTTTGAATTTGCAAGTGTGTGTGTGTGTGTGTGTGTGTGTGAGTGTGTGTTGTGTGTTTGAATTTGTAAGTCTGTGTGTGTGTGTGTGTGTGTGTGTGTGTGTGTGTGTGTGTGTGTTGGCTTCTGTGTGCGTCCGTCTTTTACGCCCAGGGAGCAGACCAGTGAAGCCTGACTGGTGAGACAACACGATCCCGCCCCTGTGTTTGTGTGTTGGATTGCGTGTTTTTGTCCTGTGTGCATTTGTGAGCGAGTGTTTGTCTGTTTTCATGAGTAGTCATATCGCGCTTCTCTCTCGCCAAGTGATCTTTTGCCCGCGTTGCCCACATACGGCTTCTGTTCTCTTTCTCACCTTTCTTCTTCTCCCTTCCTTCCTTCCTTCCTTTTCCACCTTCTTCTCCTCTTCCCCTCATTCCCCTTCCCTTCTTCTCTTCTTTTCCTTTCTCTTCCCTCCCTCCTCTTCCCCTCGCGCCCTCTCCCTTCTCCCCCTCTCCCTTCTCCCCCCTCTCCCTTCTCCCTTCCCCTCCCTCCCTTCTCCCCCTCCCTTCCTCCCTTCTCCTTCCTCTCCCCCTCCCTTCTCCCCCTCCCTTCCTCCCTTCCCCTTCCTCCCTTCTCCCCCCCTCTCCCTCCCCTCCCCCTCCCTCTCCTCCCTGTCCTTGTGCCGGTCATTGGCGTAGGCCGGTGGAAGGCTCGCTGTTCATCGTCTTCCTCTTCATGTCGTTTGTTCGTTTAAAGAATTCCTTCCTTTTCGTTTGCTCCTTTTTTTTTCTTCCGTATTTTTTCCCCTCTTCGTTTCCTTTTGTTGATTACCTTCTTTTTTTCGTTTTGTCAGCGTGTGAGGGATAAGACGGACGGACGGACGGATGGACAAAAAAATGAAATAAATAAACGGACGATCAGACAAAATTACGGGCAGACGGACTAACGAATCGAGAGACTAACGAATTGACTAAGAAACTAACGAATCAACAAGCAGTCAAATATAGAGAGAACAGACAAATTTACGGACAGAAAGACGACCAGACAAACAGACGAACTTACGGACAGAAAGACGACCGGACAAACAGACGAACTTACGGACAGACATTCGCATGAACGAATTTTACGGACAGAGAGACAAACGGACGAACAGACGAACTTACGGACAGACACAAACGGACGAACAGACGAACTTTCCGATCCCCCCTTTTTGGAATGGGGGGGGGGGGAGAGTCCGAGGCGACGCGAGAGAATTGTCATCAGCCGAGCGTGTTGTTGATGACGCTTGTTTGTGGTAGAGCGCTTTAGCCGTGCACCCCGTGGGCGCTCGGGCGTGGACGGGCGGGGCGGTGGGCGGGCGGCGGGGGAAGGGGGGCGAGGGGGGTGGTGGGGAGGAAGGGCGGACTGGGGTGGACGTGGGCGGAGGGGGTGGCAGGTAGTGGGTGGGAAAGGTAGAGGAGGAGAGGGTGGTGGAGGGGATGGCGTTGGGGGGGGGAGGGAGTGGGGAATGGGGATGTAGGAGAGAAATGGAGAAATGCGTGATGAAGCAGAGATAGCGGGTGCAAGGTAAGGCGTGGGATTGAGGGAGGGGGGGGGGCAGAGAGGGAGTGGAGAAGGGAAAGGGGAAAAAGGACAGAAGCCCAAAGGGGGAGGGAGGGAGCGAGCGAGCGAAGGAGGGAGGGCGGCGTGCAGCCCACACCAAGGGAACAGGATCCCAACATTTAAGTGGTAAAAAATTAGATAAATCAGATTGAAATTGTATCGTCACGCCGGGAGCCTTATCCCCCCCCCCCCCTCATTTCCCTTATCCCTCCCCTCCCTCCCCTCCTCCTCCTCCTCCTCCTCCTCCTCCTCCTCCTCCTCCTCCTCCTCCTCCTCCTTTGCAACCTTTGGAACGCGACCTTCGGGAAATTCGACCTTATGCATTGTCGTCAGAGAGATTAATTTCGGATGTTGCGAATGTGTGGTTGGGGGAGGGGGTGAACCTGAGTGTATTGCTACCCTGGTGTGTGTTTGTGTGTGTGTGTGCGCGTGTGCGTGTGCGTGTGTGTGTAGGTTGGTAGGTATGTAGGTTAGGCTAGTTCCTGTCTCCTCCTCTGCATTTGTGATTATCCTAGGGATTTATCGATGTCCTGTGCGGTATACTAAAACCCCCGCTGACCACGATAGGACAGAAGACGAAGGCGAAGACGAAGACGGAGACTAAGAAGAGGAAGGCGAAGGCGAAGGCAAAGACGAGGACTAAGAAGAGGAAGGCGAAGGCGAAGGCGAAGACGAAGAAACAGCAGCAAACGGAGAAAGAGAAGAGGAAAGAATGAAAAGAGAAAAAAAATCCCTTCGCGCCCTCCACGAGATCTGCAAGAGAAGGGCGTCGGGTGGGTGTGGTTGTGGGGGTGGGGTGGGGTGGAGGGGGAGGGGAGGAGGAGTCGAGCGAAGGAAGAAGACTTGAGAAGTGAAGATTTGTCCCCACGCGGTGCGAAGATCTGTACCACGTGAGGCCCGAGCGATGAGGCAGGGGCGTGGGGGGATGGGGAGGGGCGTGGGGAGAACGGGGGGGAAGGGAGGGAGGAGGGGAAGGAGGGGAGTAATTTACAGTGTTTTGCTTGAGTGATCACAGCAGGCAGGCAGGCAGGCAGGCAGGCAAAGCTGAAGGAGGAGGAGGAGGTGGGGGAGGGGGAGGGGGAGACGGAGACCTGGGCTGCGAGATCCTGATGAGACAGTGCTATGTGTGCCTCCTCCTGTCCCGAAGTGCGCTCGCCCGATGCTTAACTGCAGGAATTTGGTCATTAAACGTTTGCTCTTCAGTGTGTGTGTGTGGAGAGGGGGAAGGTGGCGGGTGTTGGGAGGGGGAGGAGGGCGAAGGGAGGGTGGGGTAGTTAGGATAAACTGAAGGGGGGAGAGGACAGGAGGGGTGTGAGTAGTAGGGTAGGTTGGGGCATGGTAAGGGGGAAGGAGGAGGGAGAGAGAGAGAGAAAGAGAGAGAGAAAGAGAGAGAGAGAGAGAGAGAGAGAGAGAGAGAGAGAGGGAGAGGGAGAGGGGGAGGGGTACGTTTGGGCATGTTGGGGAGGAGGAAGGGAGGGAGAGAGGTAGGGAGGGGGAGGGAGGTGGGGGGTTGTAGGTAGGTACGGAGAACTGGTTTGGTCATAATGCCAGGGCAATGAACTCCGAGGACGATGTCTGCCGTCGGGAGTATCAAGGCCACGAGAGTTTTTTTTTTCTTTACTTGAAGAAACAAACAAAAAAAAAACAATAACTGGCCTTATTTGGCTTCTTTTCTGTCACCACTGGGATCGAATGTTCTCGAAATAGATATTAGAATGCTGAAAATAACGTTAGTTAATATTTCCAGAATGCAGGGCTGTCATTGAGAAGGTGAAAGAAGGAGAATCCTGTTATTAAAACCCTCCCGCAACATTTGTTCAAGTTACCCCTTCTCATCCCTTATTATTTTCTGTACTAAACCGTGTTCCTCTTCCCGTTTTCTTTCACAGGAGCCGCTAGATTATGATCGCGTACGCCGGCGCTCTGTCCTCGGATCCATGGAGCCGAAATGACATGGTAAGTGGCCGCCGGAGGACTGTTTTGAGGCTGTTTTTCTGCTGTTTTTCTCTGATGGTTTTCTCTCTTTTTTCCTGTTTTTGTTTATTTTTTTTCTCTTTCTCCTCCTTGTTTGGTGGAGAGTTGTTTGTTTGTGTTTCTCTCTTGTTTGGCGTGTTTCGCTCTTTGAGGTTAGCTTCCTTCTTTTCGTTTCTTTCTGTTCTTCATGTGCGTTTTCTTGACGCTCTCTCTCTCTCTCTCTCTCTCTCTCTCTCTCTCTCTCTCTCTCTCTCTCTCTCTCTCTCTCTCTCTCTCTCTCTCTCTCTCTCTCTCTCTCTCTCTCTCTCTCTCTCTATCTCTCTCTCTCTCTCTCTCTCATTTATTAAAACAATGCATTTAAAACAATGCATTTGGAATGTTGCCATCACTAATATAGTCACAGGATCGGCTGTATATATTCTATCAAATAAATAACATGCATTGAAGATCGCAGTGTCTGTATTCATTAATATGTAAATATGAGATTAATAAACATTTAAGAAAATGAATTTGGAAAGTGAAAGTGATAAAGGTATATCAGAAGACGGAATTAAAAAGCACGTAAGCGTGTAAACGTAGAATCCGTTGCCGAGGGATGGGAATGGGAATGGGAATGGGAATGGACGTCGAGACAGCGAGGTGTGGCCGCCGCTGTCCCTGTCGCTTTTGCCTTTTCGCTTTTTCGCCTTTTCGTTATTCCCTTTTCGCTCCTTTTGCTCCGTCTTTTGTTCTCTTTTCTCGGTGTGGCCTTTTCTTTCGTGTCTTCTCCTGGCCTTTCTGGTCTCGACGTCCGTCTCGTATTCTGTTTGTCTCGCTCGTTTATATATATATTTTTTCTTTTTCGTTATTCGTTTCTCGCCTTTTTTCTTTCTTTATCAGGCCTCTTGTTTTTTTGTTCTCATTCTTGCAGTGTAAATAGTTAGATTGGCATAACTACAACACGCACGCCCATACACAAACAAACACTCTCTCTCTCTCTCTCTCTCTCTCTCTCTCTCTCTCTCTCTCTCTCTCTCTCTCTCTCTCTCTCTCTCTCTCTCTCTCTCTCTCTCTCGAATTATCTCTATCTCTCTCCCTCTATCTCTATCTCTGTCTTTTTGTCTATGTCTATCTCTTTTATATTTCGACTTCATTTTTCTTGCGATTCCTCTTTCTTTCTTTTCACTTTTGCGCAACTGTCCCACCGCCAATCTCCCGCAACGTTTTACATTCGCCTTTGACAAGATTAAAAGAAGATCGTGGAATAACGACGGCCTCCTCCCTCCTCCTCCTCTTCCTCCTCCTCCTCCTCCTCCTCCTCCTCCTCCTCCTCCTCCTCCTTCCCCCTCCTCCTCCTCCTCCTCCTCCTCCTCCTCCTCCTCCTCCTTCCCCCTTCTCCTCCTCCCCCCCCCTTTTCCTCCTCTTCCTCCTCCTCCCCCCCTTTTCCTCCTCTTCCTCCTCCTCCCCCCCTTTTCCTCCTCTTCCTCCTCCCCCCCCTTTTCCTCCTCTTCCTCCTCCTCCTCCTCCTCCTCCTCCTCCTCCTGACTTTTTTCCTTGTCCTCCTCTCCTTTTCCTTTTCTTCATCCCCATTTTTTTCCTTACCTCATCCTCCTTCACCTCTTGCTGCTTTTTTCCTTTTTCCTCTCCCCTCCCCCCCCTAACATTCAGAATATTGACCTGTTTCTTCCTTCAGTTTTTTATTTGTTTGAGATCGTGCAGTCTTTGTCACTCCGGACGATAATTTAAAAAGTGGAAGCAGATCAGAGAAAGGGAGAAGTGAGAGGAGAGGAGAGGAGAGGAGAGGAGAGGAGAGGGGTGAACGGGGAGAGAGGAGAAGAGAGGAGGAGAGAGTGGAGAGAGGAGGAGAGGGGGAGAGAGTGGAGAGAGGAGATAGGAGGGGGAGAGAGTGGAGAGAGGAGATAGGAGGGGAGAGAGGAGATAGGAGGGGAGAGAGGAGATAGGAGGGGAGAGAGGAGAAGAGAGGGGAGAGGGGAGAGAGGAGATAGGAGGGGAGAGAGGAGAAGAGAGAGGAGAGGGGAGAGAGGAGAAGAGAGGGGAGGGGAGGGGAAGAAGAGTTAAAGAGAAAGGATGGGGTATGAGATAGGGGAGCAGAGAAGAGGGGAGAGGAAACAGGAAAGGAGAGGAGAAGAGGAAAGGAAAAGAGGAGAGGAAAGGAGAGAAGAGAAGGGAGGAGAGAAAGAGAAATAAAATGATTAAGCTTAAGGTAAAGATTTTAAAGTAAAAGTGTGGCGGCGTGACGTCATTGCGAAGTCAGGAAAAGCTCGACCGTGACGTCGGGCAGGAATTAAGCTCAGATGGGATTCAACAAAAACGTTATTCCTCATTCGCTCCGTTCAGACCCCTCCTCCACCCCTCTCCTTGCTCCCTCGTTCATCCCTCCTCCTCCCTCCCTCCTCCCTCTCTCCTCCCTCTCTCCTCCCTCCCTCCCTCCTCCCTCCCTCACTCTCTCCTTGTCCTCCCTATCCTCCTCTCTTCTATCCCG